CCAGGTCACAGCATGTAGAGGGTATTTTTTTTTTCTTTTTTTTCTTTTTTTTTGTCTTCCAATCTGCCCTAATCCTTCATAGTCATAGAAGGACTTTCCACAGAACGAATTTTGCAGGCTGGGAATTATACAATCGGGGACAGTCTATTGTCCATCCCATTTTTCACTAGTGTCCAAGCAGTTTTTTTTTTTTTTTTTTTTTTGGACGGTAAGTGGATATTAGACATCCCACTGTCCATTTTTGTATAGTGGACAGTAGTGGAGCGAGGCCCAAAGTAAGGGTATACTCACACAAGCACTTTTGTAAATGAATCTCAGCTGGAGATTTCTTTGTTGAAGTACGAAGTGCTTTTCTGTTTCCACTCTACAAACAGTGTTGTTGTTGTTGTTGTTGTTGTTGTTGTTGTTGTTGTTGTTGTTGTTTTTTGCGGCCAGAGTGTCGTATGATCCAGGCACTCCGGCCTGGTTCATACAACGGCCACTTTTGAATTATAAAAGCCGGAAAAGGGATCCGGCGTCCCTCACATCAGAGAAAAGGTTGTCCCAATGAAAAAACAGCCAACCCTACAATCCATTACAGGGCTACACAACGAATTCAACGAAATGACAAAATCCTAAAGGTGACAAAATCCTAAAGGTGTACAATTCGGATGACCTAGAAAAAGAAACAACAAAAATAAACCCTACAAAACCAAGGTCTATCACCCTTGGATATCACCCAACCCTGCAGATCCACCCTGCCACCCACACGGCAGGGATCTGTGACCACAGACCCCCCCACCCACCTCCTCGCGATTCAAAGCGGATCGCTCCACCCCCCACTTTACCTACCCTAAAACACCAACTCCCTCCACGATGGTGTATCAGCAAACCCTCCGAAATACCCTACCACTCGCGCAGCAGGGGCCAAAGGCCCCACAAAACCCACCCACCTCCTCGCGATTTAGGGTACTAATCCGCACCCTCATCTGCGTACACTCTCAAAGGGATCTTCACCTCCCTCCATAATGAAAATCCTGCAGAGCGACGCTCTCCAGTCCCACAAGAAAAGAATGATAGAACCCCCCCCAAAGTACTTGTAAGGAGATGAACGCAATCCCATAACATCAACGAACCTGCAGAAGCACCCTACCACCCGCGCAGCAAGGGTCGAAAGACCCTGCAACACCTCCTCGCGATTTAGGGCAAACTGCTCCCCCAATCTGCATCAACCCTCTAAAAAAAAAACGCCGCCCACCAGGACAGGGTCTTCGCAGAGCGACACTCCCTCGTTCATCTCACCACATTACAACCATAGCTATCAAGTACAACTACAAACAATTCGGTAGAATTGAACGGAAAAGGAACTGCAAGACCAAAAATCCACTAAGCAGACTAAGAAACCTAGCACAAGAACTACCAAAACAGCAACAAAATCGGGAAACACTAATTAGACTCTTAACCTAACAATCACGCCTAAGACGGCGAACTAAATGCAGTAAACAACGAAACAAAATTAACGAATCCAATCAACAAAATTAGGAATAGCCATTTCACAAACCGCCAAAACACCGAAAACGCAAGACTCCAGCAATGGAAGCAAAAACAAACGCAATGGGAAAAAATGTTCCTCTATTATGGCGAGGAAAAAAACTTGCCAGCTGTAACCAACAGTGAACTGAGCGCAGCCCTATCATGCCAAAGTCGCCCACGCTTTCGTAACAGTGAGGAGGACTAAGACCAGAGTCGCAGCAGTCCATGTAAGCATCTTCCAACAAGCAGTGGCTTCAGCTCCTTCACACACTCTCCACGAGAATCAGCTTTCAAAGGCAGCTTCCGACACCAGCGATCCACATAGTTACATATCTGAGATCAGGGGGCTGGGGCCCCTGATCAAGCTTCATTTACAGTATGTTGGCGGCTAGCAAACCCTGCCTCGCGTCAGCCACACATGCGACTCTGGGGCTCGTTCGACACTCCTTGGGGCGTCCTCGGAGCCCGAGGAAAATTTCCTTTAGTCAAAAGGGAAATTTGGGCCCTTCGTTCCACCTGTCCTCGGGGACGTCGCCCAAGGACGTTTCCTTGGAGCGATGTCAGAAAAGAAAAAAGGAAAAAAAAATAAAAAAAATGTGCTTAAGGCCTTCAGCCAATAGGGTGCCGCCACGATCCAGATTCGCGGTTGTAATATCTCTCTACGCGTGTGCCCGCTCCTCTCCGTGAAACGCGGATTCCTTTTGCCCAAGGTCCCTTGGGCAAAAGGGAGAAATGGCTGGGGAATCCTCGGAGCCCGAGGAATTTCCTTCGGAGTGTTTTCACTTTTTTTTTTCCGACAGCAACCCCGAGGATAAGTGGAACGAACAATTCCTCGGGGACTTTACGCGCCCGAGGAGTGTCGAACGAGCCCCTCTGTCCCTTTGCGACCTAACAAGGATTGCCAATGTTGCAAAATTTGTTATGATGTATTCAAAGGGACGCTGGACCCGGTTTCCAGGAGGTGATGCTCCCCACCAATAGATGGAGTGGTCCGCCAGGCAAAGCCTCAATCCCGGTGGTTCTCTTACCACCACCAGGATAGAGGTCTTGTATGACTCATTATGAGGACCTTTATAAAAAAAAAAAAAAAAAAAAAAAAAAAAGGATTGGCAGCTCCTGCGGACCAAGGCCAGCCATAGCCAGGGGCGTGGTAATACCCCTGCTGGACAACAACCCAACCCGTGCCCATACGCACGCTTCACCCCCTTGCGTCTGTGCCATTCCGCCGGCGAGTTCTGGCATGCATGCAGTGCCTGTGTTGCCCTGCGTGCGTTAGCGATCCCCCGCCGCTTGCCGCAGCCCCGTGCCCGATTCTTTCTTTCTTGTGCCAAAAAAAAAAGGAAAAGAAAAAGGAATGTCACAGTCCAATTCAACCAAGTTGACACCCAAAAGAGGGTGTAGGCAGCAGAGAAACAGGAAAACTACGATATACAGCAGATCACTACACACTCGAAATTACTATGTACCACAAGTAGAGTGTGTTAAAAGGCTAATTTAGTAATTCTCCCAACCAATTCAATTACCTGTGTCAAATCTGGACAGGACTGCCTTCCAGGGGCCAAGTCCCACTTAACGCTGATTCTTGATTTCTGGTCGTTGATCTTCGAACTCTGTGGGTACTACTAGTGGGACTTGGCCCCAGGACTTGGCCCCAGGCCTTGGTAACAGGCTAATTCTTTGAAGCCCAACCAATTCAATTACCTGTCAAATCTGGACAGGACGGCCTTTCAGGCTTTTTTAGCTCCCTTGGTAAGGCACGCAAAGTGGCATTCAGGAGGTCTTGGGTTCAATCCCCCTTGGCCTCATGCACCTTCCTGGGCAAGCTTGGCGCCCACCACCTAGAGATATGCCGTTGGTCCCCCCGAGTGGCATTGAGCAGAGACTGCTGATGTTCATAGGGGGAGGGGATCGGAGGGGAGGCACGGTGACTGGCCCATCGAAGAAGCTCGGTCCTGATGCTACCGGCTGACCCCTGGCTGGTATCGCCCACCTGGTGTAGCAGGTATCGCACCTGCTGGTGGGTGCAGCTCCCGCATGTTCCCTCGTTGGAGGCTTGAGCACGGATGTGGCTGCTACGGGGTTCCCCGTAATACTATAACAAACTATTCTCATCAGCAAGGAGATTTTCCTAGGGAGTTTTTTCTCCCTTTGTTTCTCCCTTTCTTTTTCTTTTTTTCCAACGTTAATTCGCAAAAAGTATTTTTTCCATGTTGGACGATACCGCAAGAGAAACGCATCGACTCCCAAAACAATTCATCTCTCCTTCGCCTTCAGCCTTCAGGTCATGAAGAACAACGCTCGGCGAGCCATCGGTGTTACGGTAGTCACTGGTCAGCCGATGGGAGGTCGACACCATCGGCCATCGACCATCGGCCGGCATACCGAGTTGATGAAAGCGCCGTCAACATCGCTTAGTGCTACTACCTACCCGTAGTAGTTGATGTAGGGAGCCGACATAGCCAAGCTGGCTGGCGATCACTGCCACTCTGGAACATAATTCACAAACGCGCCGAACGGTCTGGCACGGGGAGGTAATGATAATCCGAGTCTGCACGCCTGGTTCCCATCGTCTACATCTGCCGGCATAGGCGACCGACATCGTCCGTGACAACGACAACCGTCGTGATCACTGACGATCGCCAGCCCCTTCTTTGACTGTGCAGGGCATTTGGGGCGAGGAACGCGCGGGGCGCTGGGGGCACACACACACACACACACAGAGAGAGAG